GCTGAGAGCGGCGGTTAATAAGTGCAAGTAATAAATAAATAAATAAATAAAGTCAGGGAAAAACATTTTTTTAAAAAATTCTTCCCATGTGGTGCAGTCTGAAACCTGATTGCATTCCTTAAATGTCAGGTGTTATTTGTTTAAAAGTAAATCCAAATATTCATTTAGCATATTCTATAGTATGGTCCACAGCTTATTATAAAGTACAGTACCAAGCCTGTCTCCATGGGACTGGTATCCAACAAAATATGTCATCTCTAGCGTTTTCTAGGTATTTTGTTGAAAATCCTTCATTTAAATAGAGCTTGCTATAATTCATGGTTTTTACATATTTACATATTATAGGAGTTGTGTGTAACAGTATAGTCTAGGACTACTGGTGGGTCGAATGTCAATGGGATGGTCACGTCCAGCACCGTAGTTATCTGTTTCGAAGTTTGAACTAAAACCAGGATTAGATTTGCCTCCTCCCTGTCATTTGAACCAACTGCTGTTACAGGTATAAAGGGCCTCTTCTCAACCTTTTTCTGAGTTTTTATAAGATTTATTATCTCAGTCCAAAAGAAGAAAGTGGACACTTTCCAAATTTAATTAGAAAAGCCAGTAGAATTATAGTATGAACAGCTATGGGGAGAGGTTGGGCCCCCTGGTGGCGCAGCAGATTAAACCACTGAGTTGCTGAACTTGCTGACTGAAAGGTTGGTGGTTCGAATCCAAGAAGGGGGTGAACTATCACTGTTAGGCCCAGCTTCTGCCAACCTAGCAGTTTGAAAAAATGCAAATGTGAGTAGATCAACAGGTACTGCTTCTGCAGGAAGGTAACGGTGCTCCATGCAGTCATGCCAGCCACATGACCTTGGAGGTATCTATGGACAACACTGGCTCTTTGGCTTAAAGAAGTCATTATAAACTTCTTATGTCTCATATCTTCTAATATCTCTTTTAAAAATATATATACAGATGAAATGTAGTGGATATTTATATCACTAAGCTTCGTAAGAATCAGGCATGTAGCCGGGGGGGGGGGGGGCTACTAGTGAGGATGACAAACTCCTTTAATGCTTTCCGAATGGAAAGCAAAAAAAGGATTGGCTCTGGAAACCTGAATCACAATTGGTTTGATCTGGCCCAGTTGTCTTCATTTTGAGACCTAAATGAATTTGTTAGCTGGCAATGTAATCTACAACAAAGTTGGGTGACAATATGAAAAAGCATATTTAGAAAGCAGGAAAGGATGGATAGAAAACATTATTTTTATTTTATTTTTTTGCTAACACACCACTATCAATTGATACAGGCCACACAATACCAGCTTTCCAATATTTGAGGTGTTCAGCTAAATATTTTGGAGGATACCCCCAAACTCCAAGAAACATTTGAAAACTTGCTAATTGCTAATTTCCATCTCAGATGTTGTGGCTTTTTTCTTAATATGGACAAATACAAATCTTTAGCTGTCAAATATCATTAAAACTATAAGGCTTATAAGACTTAGACTAAGTACACACTGGTATATGTGTAACGTACAACACATACACAATTACATAGGTCATATAATCTGATTATGAATTGTACTGAAAAATTAGTAATATTTGGAAATTATATTAAAATGCTATAATCTTAACAATTATATTTCTGTCATTTTACAAGCAAACTTGTTCCAGTTTTCCCCTACTTAGCTTTTAGTAAGACTTTTGCAATCCAACCACCAACACTCTACAAGTGGAGAATGGTACTGATTAGCTTTGTTACCCCTTTAAGGCATTGTCTCAATAGGAAATTATCTGGCAACTCAACTTTTGGTTGGGCTGTGTGTTTATTTCTCACATATGTAAGACAAAATACTGTTATCAGTAAAATTAATATTAAAACAGAAGTATATCTGAAATGTAAAAACAGGAAACACAATTTTAAAATATCAATAAAAAGAAATAGTAGCAGCCAACTAGTTAATCCCTTTCCCAAGAATTTAGCTTACATGTCTTATTCCTGTCTGAATAACAAGTGGAATGAGAAAACCATGAAAATTATGACCTGCATTCCCACCAGAAGTGCCTGCATGTTGGTAGAAGCAACAGAAGGCCCTCCACATCAATATCATATAACCTAGGCAGGTTTGCTTAGAGTCTGTGATTGTTTAGACAGCTTGGTCCCAAGACAGACAGGACTTTATAGGTCAAAACCTGCATTTTGAATGATTTTGTGGGAAAGATCAGCAACCAATAGAGCCTCTATAACAAAGGAGTCACATAGTGTCTTGTAACTGTCCCCAGTCGAAATTCTGGACCAATAAGTGTATAAACATTTTTCAAAAGCAGTCTGTGCAGTGAATACATTTGTGCAGCTAAAGCATATCCACCAAATATAGCCTTCACTTGATCTATTTAAACTGACTATGGCAATGCACATTTATCTTTACTCGAACTGTTCAATTGGCTATGGTAATATGTACTACCATAGCAAATTGAACAGTTCGAGTAAAAATTATATTTGTTGCACAAATTTTAGCAGCACAAATTTGTATTACTGGCACCCATGAAATCGGGGTGTCATGAGGGTGTCATGACCTATTATTCCTGAATCTGTATTAATATGAGCATTAAAAAGGAAATTTTCTGTAGCCTCTGTCAAACTAGTGTTCTCCAGATGCTGTGCACTGCAACCCCAACACCCATGACCACTGGCCATTTGGACAGCAAATAAAGGGAACTGTGATCCGTACTCTTTAAGGAGAACCATGCTGGAAAATGTTGCATTAAGGTAAAATTTGTCAGTTTCATATAAATCTTATAATCCACCAAACAGATATGTCATTATGAATTTTTATATCGTATTTGTGAAAACAATACATTTCAGTCATTGCTTTCACAGCTGAATAAGAACTCGCACAGACAAATGTACATATATGGGTTGTTCTGGAACATGGCCATACAGCCTGGAAAACTCACAACAACCCAATGATTCCAGCCATGAAAGCCTTCGATAATACATTGTACATAGATGAATTGGAACTGTTGAAAATGGCTTATATTTATTAATTAATTTGGTTTTAAACAGAATTAAACACTCATCTACTTGAAAAATGAAAAAAGAAGATTAATAGCAAAAATACTTCCAGATGCTTCCAGTAGGGACCTACAGTACATAAAAAGCAAAAGCATGCCAAGAAAAGATAATAACTCTTTCCAGACCTTTGGGATACTCCTGTGCTTTGTAAAGGAAGCTGTACATACAGTAGACAACCCATGCTGTTCCCACATCAGTCTCTGTCAACCACCCAAACCAATGTAGACCAAATGACTCTGCCGCACCTGGAGCTGGGAATCACTGGAAGAGCATGTCTCATTGTTTTTTAAAAAAAACACAAGGTATTTTCTCAATCTCTCATCCCCCCCATCCCATTTCTGGAATATTCTAGTCTCTGGATTCATATTTTGAAATTTCATCCAGCATGCACATAACTCCACATAAAGTGCTGATCGGATCATGGCACCAATTTCTGTCAGTTTAAGAACATGAGCCAAGGCATAGAAAGTATGCAAGTAAAGATAGTGGGAAGAGGACTAGACATAGGCTCAAGGGGCAAATTATGTTTAGGTTCATGGTGTAACAACTGACTGGCAAGGAATGTTAGGGAAGGGCTCCAAAACTTGCAAGAGATTTATGCTTGCCACCTTAAGGATCAAGTAATACAAAGAGACACAAGATCTTTACTTGTGTTTGAAATTCCAGTTGGAGTGGACTTGTTTTTTTAACTAATAATTCAGAATGTAAATAAAATAAGTGTATTTATAATTATATGGGCAATAGACAAAAAACCAATAAGAAAATTCAATGTGATTTTATATTCCAACTATTCTTTCAATAGGAAACTCTCAGCACCATGCCACATCCAATTTCCTTTCAATTTGCAATAGTGTGGTTTTTCAGTATAATCTGCTGAATCCATCTGAAAAACTGAGTTGTCCTGATGTTCTCCATTTCAGAGAAGAGGGGAAATAAGGACAGATGCAAACAGAACTAAAACACTGTGGCATAACATCATTTTGGCCTTGCATTCAGGTCAGATTATATGCCCAACACCTCCATGTCAGTCCAAGTGGAAAAAGAAACTACAGGGTGCAACATTTATCCAGCTGTGTGAACTTTGCAGCCGAAATGTTCTCTGCCAGCAAAGCAGGATCCACATAACACTGAATTACTGTTCTCTGCAACCAGCTGGGTCATCTTTTTGCAAGTTTACTCCTAGAATGTTTATGCCTTTGTAATGTAGGCTGTCTTTTTCAACACCTGATTTTGTCAGTAACAGAGTTTGCAGTATTAAAGACATCAGCAAAGGCCAATAGTAGCCTTCTTCAAGAAAACACTCCTGATATCAGTGTTAGTCACTGCTGAAATAGTATCACAAATATGTTGTGTTTTCCTAAACTAAAATTGCAAATTAATCTTAAAAGGAATCATTTAGTGGATCTTTCCAGCTGCTATATTTGAAACCCAAATATATGTATAATTTAAGGGAAAAGATTGTACACAAAATATTTCAAAAACAAAGATTTGGTCAATCACTTTAAAAGTAGCTGGCACATTCTGGGTATGTGAATACAAGAAGAACAACTGTCATATAAAACCTCTCATATGTTCCTAAGAGAGGATGGTGCAGGTCAAAAACAATATAGTACCTCATACAGACTTCTTTTGGATTTGGATTTTTAACAAACGTCTTTTACATCTTTAGTAGCAAAAGTGAAGGAGTCCTAGAAAACTCTGGTATTGTTTTTAATTTCTAGTGACTAGAGATTGGGAGAGTCCTGGCTAATTTATGGGGGATGGGGAAAAACAAAACCTCTATGTGGAAACTTCTGCTAGACATAAAATAAACAACATGTGTGTTGTCACATGTAATGACAACATATGTCATTATGTTTTTGCCCTCTCTAGGTCACTAGAGACTTCAAAATGCTGGAAAAAGGAACCATTTTATAATGTAAAATGTTTCCTACCTGTAAGCAGTTCAGCTAATCCCACAACTGTCATTTGATAACACTTCACTACATAGCAGAATATCACCTTGGCCCAATCCTGTTTGAAGAGAGGAAATGAAAACATTACAACTGGTAAGAATATATTGCTGTAACGAAGTGTGTTAACATAACATTCTGCAGCAATTGAGTGTAGACTTGATAAATGTATTTATTTACGATATTTCTCAAGCCTGAAGCTGACTCAAGGTGGGTTACAAATTGGTAAGAATTTTATGCCATAAACATCCACAATATAAAATTAAAACATTTAAAACAACATTATAAAATCCATACAAAAAAACCATTAAAAACATATAACAACAGTGTTTTCCTGTTAATCTCATTTCCAGTAGCATCATCTGAGTTGTTCCATGTTTCAATCTTGCATAATTCCATGTTTGTCTATTGCACTGTATTTCCGAAGGCTTGTTCAAAGAGCCAGGTTTTTACTTTTTTTGGAAGGTTAGGAGGGAGGGGGCCAATCTAATATCCCTAGGGAGAGAGGTCCACAGCCGAGGGGCCACCACTGAGAAGGCCCTGTCCCTCATTCCTGCCAGACACACCTGCGAAGAAGGCGGGATCAAGAGCAGGGCCTTCCCAGATGAACTTAAGTTCCTAGATGGTTCATAAGGATACATTTGGACAGGTAAGTGATCCAGAACCATTTAGGACATGAATCAAGAATTGTGTCTTCACTGTGTTAGTACACAGATTTCCTCAAAAAGGAAACAACACATGCCTGCTCATAACAGCCCTTCTAATCTCACTAAGCCACAATTTCATGGCATAGATCAGGTGAAAAAATGGTGTGCTGCTTATCTGAAAATTTAAAAGGTATTTTGTTGTTGGATTTGTTGCTTTGATGTGAGTAACTCATTGCAAGGTGAAAACATTTCATTCTAAAACATTGTACTGATAGAGCAGTTGTAATCCCCCAGACACTCATTTATTTGCAAACCACAAAAGATGTAGAAAATTATAATTAGCATACAAAAACCATCTGATTGTTAGAAATAAAAGTAAAAATGTATTTATACTCAGATTTAAAAACAAAACAAAGTTAGTACAGCCACATTAACAATTTCGCTCTACAGCAAAAACAGTCCACAATTCTTTGCACTGAAGATAGTAAAAAAGAAATAGTACCAACTTTGCTGAGAAGGCTTCCCAATTATGGTCACATTTTAGAACAGAGATTACTTACTCATGTTACAAAGTGAACCATACATCTTTCCTCAGTCTCCCCCCCCCCCACCCTGTGTACCCATTGTATCTGCTTTTCTTTTCTTTGACAGAATGATGGCTCAGATTTAATGTTCCCTCCCATATTATCATATGTTTGTCAATGTGTTTCTGGAATAGAGTAACAAGGCCAAATAATATTGAGCTTTCATTTTCCAGGAGAGAGATTTAGAAAGACAATCCATAATTTCATCATATTCTGGTTTTCTTTTCAGTTAATGAGAAACATATTGTGGACCTGTACATTAACTATGTTGGATACCCAGCTTTGTCTGCAACCCTGCTCTGTGACACATCAGCCCACACTCATGAAACATAACAAGCAAATTTTAGTGCCTACAAATGGAGGGCTAGATTTCATAACTACATAGCAGAACACCTGCTTTTATAGCTGCCATTCTGGTGTAAATCAGAACATCCAGCCATCAGAGAATTCTTAGCGTTTCTCATTCTACTTGGTTACCAAAATGGAGCCAAGGAGTAATGAGTGCAAGGGGAATCCAGAGAGATGGCAAGTTAATATTTTCTCTCTTGGATAATGCCTTGTCGTGTTGGGTGTACACCCACCCACTCACACATGCACAAGATTGTCTTAGATTTCAGAACAAAATAGCTTTTCCAAAAGGTCTTATCCAAGTTCCAAGTAATCTGTAACACATGTAAGAATGTTTTTCATTCTGTCACTATGATAGAGTTATTTCTTATGGATACCTACAGCTGTCTCTTTCATTCTTTGCAGGGGACACAGCAGAATTCCTTTTACCAACCACTGTGTTACAAGAATTTGACTGCATACAAACTCAGGCATGCATACAAGCATAGTTTGGAAACATTATGAATAGGCATGTTAATAGGGAACATTTTTCAGCCTCAGGGATGTATTTGTGTGTAACCCCTCCAAAAGGTCATTTGCCAGGCCAAACAATACTCTCTATAGTGACTTTATCAATCGCCCTTTTTCTCTTACTATGGTTTTCTTTTTGCTTCTTTCCCCTTATCGCTGTTCTCCCTTCATAGTCTATCCATCTATCTTCCCTTATCTCTCACCACTTCCCTTTCTCTCACTTCTTCAGTCCCCTCTCCTATTTCTATACAGATGTCATAAGCACATACACAGCCTCTTATCTCCTATCCCCACCTCAACTCAGTTGTCCAAGATGTTCAAAGAGAAGCAAATTAATGTGGGCCTCTTCCAGAAAAACAGCTGAAAGGGGGAATATGGGGACACAGCCAGGAGAGAATATGCTCAGACAAGCAAGATTCAGACAACAAGTTGAAAGTTTCCACACCCCTTCAATATTGTTTCCCAACAGAACTTAGATTCATTTTTAAGTCTTTTATTGCAAAAGGGTGACAATAATGTAAACAAAACTGCTTTAAGCTGCTTAGGATTTTTTTCTTTTAAAAATTCAAATAATATCAAAGGTCTTTTATATTAGGTCAGACTTTGTTCAGCAATTGCTGTCATGCCTACTTTAAACAGTGGTAGAGTCATGGTATGTAGTCTTACCAGACTTCTATCTCATCCTTTTAAATCAGAGGGAAAGGATGTTATGTTGTTGGACTAGCTATTCTGTCTAGGGTTGATAGAAGGTACAGTCATGTAAAGACCTGTTCACTTTTGAGCAAAGCAAGTGGAAAGATCAACTCAGAAACTCTCCTGTTTCCCCTGTGGGACATCGCTTCAGGTCCCCTAGATCCTCTTATCCTATGTAGGACACAACTGGGTGGAGCTGTTACCCCAGTGTACCCTGAAGAGAAACCAATGAGATTAATGTTCAGTAAACAGACAGACAGAAACAACAGTGAGTAGCACAGATTGAATCCCAGCAGAGTCTAATTGAGCAATTGTGTACCTGAGTAGGGTTTTCAGATGTCAGGGTCAGGAGTTTGTTTAATGTTTTGAATCACTGATCTTAATGTTAATATGTGTTTTTTTAAAAAAACAAAAAGCCTCTGATTTTAATGTTTTAATGCTTTGTACTCCTGGTGTGTGACTGCTACAATACAATTAATTCAATCAATGTTTAGGCCAACAGGGAAAATCTAAGGCACAGACCACTGCCTTGAAAGGTGGATAAGCTTACATAGGTACATTTTCTTCATTTGTTAGACTTGGCCTTTGCTACATGGGTACTGTGTATGGCTTTAGTTGATGTAACATGTATCTTGCTCAAAGACATAATCAGGAATTGCTTCTAGTAATCATCATTGGTGATCACTCATGTCCAAGTATAAGTATGAATGTCTTCCAATTGTAATGTCTTGGCAGTGGATCCATAGGTGACTATAGAGACCTATTCTTGATCCACATGTTCTTCCACACTGAGGATATTGATTTCCAGATGGATGGTGGTCCTGGTCAAAATTGGCTTGACACACCTTCCTCTCGACACGTTTCTCCTTTTCGCCCTCCATTCCTGCCTATTCGAATTCTGCAGCACTGTTGGTGACAGCTGACCTCCAGTTAGAATGTTTAAGGGCCAGAGCTTTCCAGGTCTCAATGTCTATGCCGCAGTTTTTAAGGTTGGTTTTAAGCCCATCTTTACATCTCTTTTCCTGTCCACCAACATTTCATTTTCCATTCTTGAGTTGAGAGTATACTGCTTTGTGATCAGGCATACAGACAATGTGACCAGTCCTGCGAAGTTGATGGTGAAGGATCATTGCTTCAGTGCTCATGGTCTTTGCTTCTTCCAGCACAGTGACATTTGTCCGCCTGTCTTCCCATGAGATGTGCAGGATGTTTTGGAGGCAACACTGATGGAATTGTTCCAGGAGTTGAGTGTGATGTCTGTAGATGGTCCATGTTTCACAGGTGTATAACAGGGTTGGGAGGACAATAGCTTTATTAACAAGGATCTTGGTCTCCTTGCGAATGTTTGAGCCTCTAGTAATATCACCTTTTTAACCAGTTACAGAAAAGGTCAACCTTAGGTCTCAGTTTTGGGGTCTTAAATTTCAGGAACTGGTATAATCCTGATCTGGCATCTTAAAATTATGAGGCATAATATAATATCAGTTCAACCACATATGCAAACAGGTGAAATATCTTCAAGGGGCACACATTTTGTTATGAGTGTTACTCCCCCCCTTGTTCCAAAATTAGTAGAAAGGATGAATCACACACATAGCAAGAATCTCACCAGTCCAGGCCAAACCTACTGTGTTTTTGCATGTGGCAAAATCTTCACTGTACCTCTAATTTCCACCATTGAAACAAAGCAGCTTGAAAGCATCTATACTGTAGAATTAATGCAATTTGATACCACTTTGACTGTCATGGGTCAATGATACAGAAGTCATCATTTCTGTCATTCCTGGTGTTTCACATTTAGAAAATGAACTGAATGTGGTATCACTTCTACATGTTGCTCATTTACATGAGGAGATGGGAAGGTCAATTTTCCTATGATCATGAAAATGCAAAATCTAGCTTTATTCATAAGTTATAGAATGAAATTCTACTGAAAACAGCAAAGGATGAAAACCTGATATATACATTTTGCAAGTATCACTCAGCAGGCAACCTACAAGGCTAAAGAAGGAGAGAAAGAAAGGAGCGGTATCATTAGCTCTTCTAAGAAGACAAAGGAAGATCGATGCTTTTGAACTGTGGTGTTGGAGGAAAGTTCTGAGAGTGCCTTGGACTGCGAGAAGATCCAACCAGTCCATCCTCCAGGAAATAAAGCCCAACTGCTCATTGGAGGGAAGGATATTAGAGACAAAGTTGAAGTACTTTGGCCACATCATGAGGAGACAGCAAAGCCTAGAGAAGACAATTATGCTGGGGAAAGTAGAAGGAAAAAGGAAGAG